AATGCGTTCCCAACCCCCCGTATAAACCACGAAAGCCTTCTTCTTTCGCCACAGTCCTCAGTGTCTGGAAGAACTTATGGTACTTCTGTTGACCAAGAAAATTGCTTTCTTGCTGTCGTAGCCGAGTCCTCGCGACTTCGTGTGGGTAGCACAAGGTCGCAGCAATAGATTTAGTAAGTCCAGCTGCAAACATGCATTCAAAAACTTTCAAATCTTTGTGAGTTTTGTAGTGAAATTCTAAAAGTTTGGCTCTGACGCGTTCGTATATGACGAAGTGGATAACTGTCTCTGAGATACCCATGTACGATGCTGTTATTCCTCGGTAAAAAGCTCGAAACCCTTCTACGTTATAAGCCTTTTTGATGATTTCTATGAAGCTGACTCTCTGTGGACCTTGATTTTCTAACTGTAGCCTAGTTTTTACGAACCACAAAGGATTCGTTAATGTGTGGTTTATGAATGAAGCAATAGCAGCAGAGTTCATGTTAACCAGATTGCCATTTTCTTTGAAAAATCCTGAACGATTGAAAAAGTCCTTCAACTTTGAATAAGCTGCAAAATAAATGGCCCTGGAAGGAATAACGCCAACCAGAGTAGGTGCAAGGCCTTTATAAAGAGCAAAAAAGCCTTCACTTTTAGCCATGTAGCGAGCATAAGATAAAATCCCTGTGAATTTATAGTTCCGTGAAGTTCTGGTTGTGAACGTTGCACTAGACCCAACACTTGCTGTCGAAATAGCCGGCGCTGTGGCCTTACTAAACGAACGTTGTAGCTTGAAAGCTGACGACTGAAGTCTTGTTTGAATCACATCTAAAGGACAAGTTACAAGAGCTCCCATACATCCTCCTAATCCTCCTCCAACCAGATGTGCAAGCGCTGAAGGTCTCCTTGAAACATCAGACGCCATATTGACTGTCACAGAATGTTTAACTAGTGAAGAAAATCATATATAATTGACTGAAAACATTCTAAATTTCGATCCTTCACCTTCTACATATTCTTCTAATGCTCATTTTCGTATAAATTCAGAGATTAGTCGATGATAAAGTATGAAAATCCGACCAAACTTCGACAATTTCGTCGAATATAATATGTGCCACATCGCGCAGTTTGGAACCCGTGTGGAGATGACGTCAGTATACGCCTTCCTTATATCCTTATTAGGTAGTGGGATTGCGTCACACAAAAGAGTAACGGACCACCTTAACTTAAACTTTATAAAAATTAATTGTTGCAAAAAGAAATTGTTAAACTTTTCCATTGTTTCTTTGAAAATAAAGTTAATATGATATTTAGAGTGTATATTATTTCAAAGTTTTCGTTCAGCGATCGTACTGACTCTTAGCAACGGTGAGCGAGCGTACCAGTGAGGCAAGTGTTGTGTAACAAGGACATGATCTATCTCACGTTTCGGAACCCAACTGCCTGCTAACAGTTATTCACGGTAATCTTTAGCCTGCGTAGCCGGCCCTCTTTTTAGCCGGCTACGCAGGCAACGCAGGCTAGGTAATCTTGGGAGTTTTTAGTTTGATCACAAAAATCAAGGGAAGAAATATTTTACATTAGTCGTGCGATATTTGAAAAGTGCTTTCTTGTCATACGAAACATCGATTGAAAGAAAGAAAGAAAGAAAAAAACCCTAGAGTGAGTATCAACCACGAACGAAATAAAGAAACGAAAAGAGAGGAAAAAAGAAATTAATAAATGAACGAATAATATATGAACGAACAAATTTGAATGTTACGTGCCTGCTGATATGAATATGTATGAACGCGTAGTAGAGGGACTAAGATTGACCTAGAATGTGTAGTAGGTCACGTACGCTTATACTGTAATTCTAGCAGACGCCCATTCAAAATATTCATAAAATTGAACTATAATTTATACACTATTCTGTTCGCTTGCACAAGGATGAGTTAATTTCTCTTATGGAGTTTTTAACTAAAAGTGAACGAGAAGTTTGTTTGAAGAACATGAACTTATATCAGTTAACTTATGTATTCATTTCTTTAAACAGACACAGTATTCTAATCGATATATTATCACCATATCATCAACATTTTAATTTATTATCACTGGATTTGACTACAAAATACGCATGTGTTTTAAAGTCTTGGCCCTAAAAAGATCGGCTGTAAGTATTGATTTAAACTGACCTTGACAGTGCCGATAACCAATCAAAACGAGGGACGTGACGTCATGGAATGACGTCATTTTCTATCCGTTTTGCATTATTCGAGCAGAATGTTCAGATAGATCAGAGTTGCGGAAGACCTCATACTGCTGAAAGAAGGTAAGAATACTATCAGTTCTTTTATACATATTAGAATTCAGTTATTGTTCAAAATATTTGTGACCATAGACACTTTAAGCATTGTATTTTATGATACTAATTTTCTGGATGTTTTTTGCTGTTATGTGAGTGATATTCGAACAGCGGTTATTTTGTTATAACTATAATATCGCAGCGAGTGACCGATTTCTATTCTGAAGAATATATGGCCAAAAGCTGCAGTAACTGAAATATGACTAATATAGTACATTTTTAAATCAAAAACCGGGGGATGTGTGGTTCTGATAAATTCTAATAAGACTGCAAAATTTTTAAAAATCATTTCATAAATATTAAGGTATGTCTCGGGCATATTAACTAAAGTGGGAGAAGGTTTTCAAATCGCACGTTCATAGATTAGCGAATACATTGCCACACAACTGAACTCCTAGAAAAAGGTTTGTACGCACAGGAAGACAAATTATTTTGGATGTAGGCAAAAATGTTGGTTTCACATTTTTGCCAGTCAAAAGTCCCTTTGTATTTCTTATTTTGTTTATGGTTATGTTTATGTAATAGAAAAGGAATTTTTTGAAATTCAAGTTTGACATTCTTAACAAATTTATTAATATTCAGACTGTTCCGAAGAGTTATTAAAAGAGCGGAGGCTCGGACGTCTTGGCATAGATCGAAATCCTTCGAATTCTAGGCAATTCTGTTTCGATCATTTAAAAGGTTAACTTGACATTTCTATCCGCTAATGCTGTGACGTCAGTCGTATGGAATAACGACTTCCGGGTGCAAAGCAAAAAGCACTTTTATAAAAAATTTACTTACTTTTTCTCCATGACATGATTGTTGCCCTAAATACTTAATTGTTTAAAGTAAAGATTAAATCATTGAGAATGTTTTTCGCTTTATTTTAGCGGTTTTTGTGAGAGATTGGGCCCGGAAATACGTCGCAATTTAAAATGGCATACGACGTGTTGGCTGGTTTTCATGATAAAACACTACATGATGTCTGAGTTCGTCTTCACTGGTTTTTCTGTTTAAACTCGGAGTTGATTCTATTGTTCGTTCAAACTGACTAATCTAGTACTTTGCACCGCAGCAAATAGTTCAATTGTTGATAGCGCAGAGTTATGTTTACGAGACTTCCAGTTGAAAGCTGTTTCAATATCGGCCATTTGACTGAGACGGCTTTGGGCGTTCGTTATTTTGAATTTACCGGTTTTCCTACTGACCAAAAAAGAAAGAGCCATAAACCACGTCTAAGGGAGGAGAGTGCTTTCTAGCCGTAAGCAGATAAAATGTTTGAAATTGTAAGTCGTAAGGGCTTTTAAATTAATTATTATTATTATTTTATTGCAGAAAATTAAATTCCTACAGAGATGAAAAGAATATCAGAAACATTGTTGGAGCAAGGAGACAAATGGAGAATAACGAATAGAGCCGTAGAAAATGGAAAAGTGTCAACCCAACCGCCACCGGAAAGAAATCGTTCTATGCTGGTAGATTTAGTAGCTGGTGGTATTGGTGGTTCCGCAGCGGTAGTTCTAACATGCCCTCTCGATGTCATACAAACCAGACTGCAATCGTCAGCATTTCGTTTGCAGAGGATATCGGGGCCGATGATGAATTTCGCATCATATCACGGCGCCACAAGACCGGTGTACTTTGTAGGCTTGATATCTTATGGCAAGTTTATGGCGAGAAGTGAAGGTTTGCGATCTCTGTTCAAAGGGCTCTGCCCTACCCTGATGGCTGTCACACCCTCTCGAGCGATTTACTTCACTACTTATAAGAAAGCCAAGGAAATGTTGAATAGCAAAGCCGGGTTATTATTCGCGCCTGATAGCACTCCAGTGTATCTTTTATCTGGAGCTACAGCACAATTTACTAATTCTACCATTACCAACCCTCTGTGGTTTCTCAAAACGAGACTTCAGCTCAACTTTAGTCAAGGGAAAGAATTATCGCTGGTCGAAACTATTCGCCAAGCCTACCAAGAAAATGGACTTAGAACATTCTATCGTGGACTTAATGCAAGTTATCTGGGAATGACGGAAGTTGCTCTTCACTTTGCTATTTATGAGAACCTAAAAAAGGCACTACTTGAAATCCAAGGAAAATCGAAGGATGATTCTTTTAATTTAATCGAGTGTATGCTAGCAGCAGGAACAGCAAAAATTGTATCGATGGGAACTTGTTATCCTTATGAAGTTGTAAGAACTAGACTTCGACAACAGGAGAGCAATGTATTAGGCCAACGATGTTATAAAACAGTAACGCAAACGTTAAAGACTGTCCTCCAGGAAGAGAAGTTAAGTGGATTGTACGGAGGTGCTGCAACTGCTCTCATTAGACAAGTGCCTTTCATCACGATCATGTTTTGTACATACGAGGGAGTTATTTATTTGACAGAACGTCACAACATTCTACAACAACCAGCTCTTCCTTAAAAATATTGTCCCAAAAAGTTAAGGAATCTGTCACGATTGTCGAATAGTATATCTGACTCCGAGACATTCCCCAAGTTCCTTGGATTCCAGATTTCAGTAACCACAAATTCATAAATTCCTCAAATTTAGAATTATTATTTATATTTTCTCTATAGTTTACAAAGTCACTATAATATTCCACCTTATTTAAAACGAGCAGAATTTAATAACGTAAAGATGCAAGCTATAAACTGGATTATTTATTTTTTTAAATAAAAAAATTGCAACATCAAACTTGAGAGGATAATACTTTGTTTATAATTTTCCATATTTACAAGGCGGAACCCAGGGACAATATTTTGATGACAGGAAAATAAAGGTCCAAAGCTTTTAAACTACTGCATGACTCTTATCCAAGTACCTGCCAACGTGGTAGTAAAATTGAATGATGAATTAAAGTATTATTTGTGGATGAAGCCTAGAGGACAAAAGAAACATTTTCTTGAGTACATTCTGATGCCTTGCAATGGCTTTTGCCCCCTTACCAATCAAAAAGCAAAGAAATTAATTTTATCCAATCACAGTGCCTCAGTTTATGTTACAATATTTGTGCTTTCAACGGGCATTGTGATTGGATGAACATTTAACCGTTTTTGATTGGCTCAGAGAGAAAGCCATCATAGAGTATTTTACCATTCAACTTGTTTCTTTCAAATGCATTATCACAAAAAATCTTTAAAAAAAATTAATGTCTTTATTGTTAAACGTGCAACAAAGTTTTTCAATCACAAGATTTGATTAAATTTATTGATCATGATTTTTTAAACATCAATATTTTGTTTTGCCTTGATCATTAACTGCATGCAGCAAATAAAATTGTCAGTTTTGGGCATGTGGGAGGTGGTCATAATAACTTAGGTTACACCAGGCCTTGCAAACTGGCCTCTTTTCCCATTTCTCTCACCTCTTCTTTTCTTCTTCACTCACTCCCCACGATCACAACCAAACCAGGCTACTAGCCAACTGACATGTCTATTGTATAATTTAAAAAGATAGCATGAATTTCATTAGATTATTGGCCATCGTCCTCAATATCTTCCCATTGTGTGTGCTTTTGTTTACCCCAGATAAAATTCTTCATATTGACACCTACACCTCGATTTTCATCTTTTTCTACCAGAACCCCTCTTAAGGGGTTAAAAAAAAAAAAAGCTCACATGATGTGTCACAAAATTGATTATGCACTAGTCCCTTCAGTTGCATCACTATCCGGTGCATTACTTGCATCACTGATGTTTACATCCTTATCTGTGCTACTCTCAGGTACATCATGGGGGTGGTCGCTTCCATCAGGATCCCCAGCCCCATCCTGAGCCTCTTCATCACTGGGAGTAGTACCAATGCCAACGCTGTTGCCTGGTTGTTCATTTACGTCATCCATAATGATGTCTTCTGGGTTTGGTATTGCAGGTAAGAATTCTTCATCGGTACCACAGATGCTTTGAAATATCGTCTTTGCCTACATATATGATAAATAGTAAATGATCAACAAAAATAATAGTCAAGGTAAATGACGTGGTCTGGGAAATATAGGAAAATAGTGATATCTTAATTCCCTATCTGGTGATCAAAACAACAGAATTTCCTTCTCTTGAGAATTGAAATATTTTTTCGATTGAAGATGTTTTTTTCTATTGCTTTGACTCCCAGGTATGAGGGGTCTATTGCTAGTACATGTACCTGTTGCATGGCTTGGTGGAACCCCAGCATTGCACCAGGCATTACGGTCATTTTTATGTTGGAAGGTAAAGTATCTTGAACAGTAGTTTGATCGGATGCAGCATGGTTGAAGTACATGGACCATAGTACTACAGGCTTGGTGCTCTCTCGATCATCTGTGATTGAAATTCAACAACTTTTTAGCATTACTCTACTGAAAATTGGTATTCATGGTATTGTTATTAGATATATATGAAACAGTTGATGGTGATGATAGAGGATCTGACACCCGTGATGATGTCAATTATGCAGATTATGATGTTGATGATAATGATGTCATAAAATTCATGACAATAGTGATATTCATGGTAGCATAGTTGGTGTTATCGGATCAAGCAAAAGATGGTGATGATGGGGATCTGAAAAAGGTGATGTCAATGCAGATGAAATTCACCTTTTTGGCGCTAGCTTGGATTGTGTTACGGTCACCAAAAAGTTCGATGTCATGAGTATGATGTTGATAGTAATATTCATGGAAGCATAGTGTTATTAGGCCAAACAAAAAAATTAGTGTGTTTCCTGTTGCATGAGAAAAATAATTGGGGTGGGTAGGTTGGATTTTTTTTACTGATACAACAGTGGAAATGAGCTTACTGGGAACCCTGTGGTGCATTTGGGAATGGAGAAAATATTAGGGTTGGCAAAAATTGGCAAGAAAATTAGGGTTGGTCGCTCAACAGGGAACACTTATTTTTTTGTTTGGTCTTAGATATATGCGGATGATTGTGATGATGGGGTTCTTATGGTGATGTTGATGCATATGATGATGACAATGATAATGAGCAATAGCAATGTCTCACCATCACTAGTAGGAAAATGCAGCAACATTTCAGCTGTATCTTGCAAGTCTTCTTGTGCAGTACCACAACTTTCTGTCACAAAATGAACTACATAAAGGCCTCTAGGACAAGCTGCTGTAGAGCTATCCAACTCGTAAACCTTTATTTGTCCACCATTGTTTGGTTTTGGCATGGCTAAAAATGTAACATTTCCATGATCTGATACTTTTAGAGACTTGTCAGTAATAAAGACAGCTCTGGAGACAAATTGTGTTGTTTCCTTTTGCCATGTATTTGGTAAATATGAGTGCTCTATGATAAGCCATCTACATTTGAGCAGTTGCCCGTCTAACATTATTCCAGTACATGTATTGTCACTTGGGTCAACTATGACGCATTCTGCACTCTTCCTCAGACAGTATAAGCCTCCAAAGACTGCACACATGCGGCAAAAAGCTTGAGGGAGCTCCCCAATTCCATAAATAGGCCAGATAAAAGGTGAGTTACCATAGCGGCCAAGAGATTGAAGGAATGCCTTGGTGGCTTTCAAGCCAGGAATTGTCGTTGTTCTTGTTGTTGCCATAGCAATGGCATGTAATACGAAGTGCTGGAGATTTGGAGTCAGCCTTCTTGATATTAGGAACTCAACGTATGGCTTATCAACAAATTCGTGGTACTCATTTTCATGATTTTCATAATCGATACAGAAAGTCAAAAACTTCATCAAGGTCCTTTTCTCAATGGCAGAAATGAGCTTGCTACTGAAAACATCTGACCTTGAGCAGGGCACATCTTCAATACTCCCATTCAGGTATGTAACAATTTTGTTAACAGACTTGAACTCTGCATAATGACTGATGTTGGCACTTATTATGGCTTCAACTAATGGCCCTCTTGAGAAAAGCATTTTTGGAGCAAGATCGATATTAAACTGTCTAAAATATTGTTCAAAGTCTTCGTAAATCATATCTTTATTGACAGGAGGTTTTGGAGCCGCCCGTTGCCTAAAGAACTCAGGTATTTGGGGAGGCTGATTCTCTTCAATTGTTTCTTCTGTTTCTGTAAGATCTTCTTCAGCTGATGATCCTCTGTTAGTGTCCGAAATATTTTCTTGTGTTTTGGAATCCTCAGCAGATGAATGGGCATCACTGGAATCTATAGTAAAACGTTAATTATATTTTTCAATTAAGTTGTCATTGGTACTTCTAGCTCTTACTAAAAGGATGTAATAAGATATTTATCTGAGTTTTATCATTTCCCTCAGGAAGAAATATCTGTCAATCATTATACATATATGATCTACAGCAAAACAAAATGTAATGTTTGTGTGATTAACCTATAGCTGTTTCTTGTTGGGCATCAGTTGGCTTTGAATCACTCTCTGCCTCTTTAGCTTGTTCTTCAGCCTTTGCTTGTGCTTGCTCTTCATTATGCTCATCTTCTGATTCTCTCTCACCCTCACCATCTCGAGTCAAAGTTTGCTCGCTTTGCTCTGGCTGATCTGTACTTTGGTTATCTTTTTCATTTCGGTTTGGTTCATTTTCTTTGACTTCTGCTACTTCTGTTTTACTAGTCTCTTCTTTTTCTTCTTGTTTTCTCGTTGTTCTAAATAAAAAGAAGCAAAAAATAGAGATGTAGAATATTCAATGTGCATCAAAGCTCAAAAAGCACTCTGAGAAACCGAGAACTGCAAAAATGGAACAGAGACCACTTTGATAAACTATTATCATTAACCAATCGTTTTGCGACATTTAGTTCAATATTCTTAACCAGCCAATCAGATAGCACATCCATAGAGAGAGAGCGTAAGAACATGATAATTTGATTGGCTAACACTGTTATCAGTTCAATCTCTGTCTAGTTTACTGATTGGTCAGTTTTATTCAAGTGGCCCTTGTTAGCGTGTCCACACATTAACTCACCTGAAATAAGACTTTGTCACTAAGTTACTGATGGTATTACTCTTATGAGGAATTGGAAAAGCTTGTCTATCACAACTGTCTGTATTTTCTTCAGGGCTTGAAGTTGTACCCTCAGGTGGTGCAGTTGTCTGAAATATAATCATTATAAGTATTATTCAGATTTAAAAAATCACAAATACTCCATTTTATAGTTCCATTCAGTGACTACGAATAAACGTTCAATGTTGAGGCTGGAGTTTCTACGCATAGCAAAACTATATTTTATTATCATGAGCAGCTACTCCAACCTCGGCTTAGAACTATTATTTGTGGTCACTGAATGGTACTGTAAAATGGAGTATTGGTGCTTTTTAACAGTCATCTGACACTTCTTTTCTTCAGGCCAAGGATGTGCATTAACAAAATAAACACGAAATACCAGGGGTTGGCTAATAACTGTATTGGGGGGAGGGGGGGGGGGGCTTACAATTTCACTGGAAGAACATTTTCACTGACAAAGGTTTTTGTCATTTACATGATCACTACATGATCACTTACATCAAAAGTGAATGCTCTACAGCTCATAACCAAGGATTTGGATTTTCACTTTTGTTAAATTCTTATCATTATTTCACCTGATTTTCTTCGATCCACTTTAGAAGTCCATCAAAAGTGAAGGTTGTCCATTGACTTGAATAATAATCATTTCTTTACAACGACAAAAATGACATCAAAGAATTAGCACTAAAAGTAAAGCTCAACTTGCTATGAAAACTGCAACAAGCCTTTTATTTTGAATACCTGTCTAAATGTAGAACTTTCTGACCAACCCTTGCCAAAGCGGCAGCCACTACTGACTCTGGTAGACCTAGTTTTAAAATCAAGCAATTTATTCTTGTTATTACGTTTATCTCTGCCTTCATTCCTCAAGGGAACAACGAGAAATTCTCGTGATTATCAAAATAGTGACAAGAGGAAGGGGGCATGAAAAATGATAGAGAATAACTATTTTACTGGCAATTATTTATAATAAAATTGATCATAAGGCTAGTGCAATCCTTAATGTACAAATTAACACTTTTTATTTCGAGATCAAAGAGTGATAAATAGTATATTTACCTGTTCCAAGAACAATGGCATCATATTCTGTAGGGAAGTCCTCCTCCATCTTGAAAATCTAAAATAAATAGTACAAAACAGCTGATTGGATAAGAGGACGTCAAATCTAACGCTAAGTCTTATTGGCTGAATTTGACTTGTCTTTACCAGACTTCTCTCATGTAAGGACACTCGGACCTTGTTTGTATTGAGTGTTCAGTAGCGAAAAAATTCTTCCAAAAATTATATTTGAAGCCTCATTATACCGCGTGATCGCATCTGAGAGGTTTATTCTTGATTGATTAGGAAGTCAGGATGTCAAAACTAGTGATATTTGACCTTGGTGGGGTTGTAGCAACTACACCAGTCTATACTATCCAACAGTTTGCCTGGGAAAAGGGCGTTCCAAGGTCAGTCATCCAAATTTCTGAGTTGATGAACTATAAAATGAGTTAATATTGTATCTATTGTGGATGTATGGTCTATTTGAAGTGCTTTTGATTTGTTTTGAGAGGAATGCTGAAGGCTGCGTTGTCGAAAAATATAAATAAGCTGATAGGTCAAATTAAGCTTAATTAAGTTTACATTCAATAACATTCAACTTCTTATATTTGTGGTATAAAAACGATTTGGTTATCTATAGACAACATAAGAGCGAGAATCCTGAGCTGCAATAAGTTTTCAATAATTTATAACAAATATGCAAATTTCATATACTGTAAATCAGTTTAGAAAATCATTTGACATCTTAATGGCAATTATTCATAGCATTCAATCATTTTAATGGCTTTCGAAAACGTGTTGACAGAAAATTTAAGGTGGCTCCATGGGGTTTTCTTGGTGGTTTTCATCAATCAAATTTCTACTGGTCTGTGTTAGCAGTTCTTGATTGATGAAAGCCAAAAGCCATACCAGGGCTCAAAATAATGGCCAATCAAAGAAAATCTGTCTGGCCATGTAAACACCTTACATCCAATCGTAGGCCAGTCTTATTGATTGGACACCCTGACTGGTTTCATGTTGATCAATACCAGTGTAACCAGTGATTATTCCAGCTATTGAGCAGCCATTATTTCTAACTATGTGGAACTTAGACTGAGGTCATATATTCATGAAAATAAGTGCAAATCAGTTTTTCCAATACATTTAATAGTCAGCTGCTTCAGAAGTTGTTCCTTCCGAGTGATGAAATGCACCCGATGTTTCAGTTAGAAGTTGGTATAATTTCCTTATCCCAGGTACATTTATACTGATATATTATATTACTACTTCAATTAATCATGAAAGATTGAGATTTATTATATTATCATCAGGAGCAAGATACTAAGGTGAGAGACAGTGTGGCCCTACCCCCTTCCCTCACCCCCACATATTTTTTGAGGGATTCTTTTTTTGCTCATTCTTAGTTGATGATGTGTTTTTTTCAAAGTTGTCTCATTCCCCCCTCCCCCCTCTCATTTGGGCATTCCAACATCTGCCTCTGATTATAGTCTTCTAATTTTGGATCATATCCAGGAGGAATCTTAAGGTGTCAATAACTGGAGATAAATAACTCTTCATTGGAGATCCTGAATAAGCCCCTATATTTCTTAAACAGTTATTTGTTATCTTGTAGTTTTATAAATTAGCAGATGAACTAGTGTTGAAGCTGGCTGATGAGGAAGGTATAAAACTGCACAAGGACTTCAGCATAGAGGGTCTCTTTAAGAAAATTCCGAAGTCTCTAAATGCTGTCCCTGAAATGCTCAATGCTTCTGCTGCATTAAGAGAGAAAGGTGAGACAATGTACTTCCCAATAAAATCGACTTCCAATCCTAAAATAACCTCTGGGCTGATCAAACGTAGCTCAAAAATCAAATTGGAATTAAAAAGTTTTGCGAAGGGTTGAAATCTGGAAAAAACCCTTTGAATCAAGGGAGAGACCTAACAAACTCTGGTCACATGTGATGCATAGACTCCAGGAATCGAACCAGAGAACCCAGAGTTGAGAGGTGTGTGCATACGTACTACGTGTACTAGTACGTGACCCTTGACTCCCATGACTGGAATTTAATTAAAATTGAAATTTCTTAGATAGCTAGTGGGTTGAGAAAATGTGTTTGTGTAATGAATTAGGAGACTCTAGAAGAGATTACTGGCTAATAATACCACTACTATTAAATATCCCTTAACATAGAGCTCACCTCTCACCCAGACTTGGTGTCAAATTTGAATAGAAGTTCTAGTTGATTCTCTTCTTTGCTTTAAGGGTTTTTCTTTGAGTACTCCAATTTTCCTCCCTCTGGTAAAATAAACTTCTAAATTCCAACTTGATCAAGGAATTAATGGGGTTAAGAGGTTGGTTACCCACTGGCTATTAAATGCTAGCCACTTCAAATAAACCAAGGCAAGAGTGACATTCTTTTATACCCTCAACATATACTGGTAAATTGTTTTTAATAGGCATAAAAACCTGCATTCTAACCAATAACTGGACAGACGACACAGAAACTGGTCTACTGGTGTCCAATCTTATGAGGCTCAGGTATTATTTTGATGATGTATTTGAGTCTTGTAAATTGGGGCTGCGCAAACCTGATGGTGAAGCATTCAAAGTTGTTTGTGAGAAAATGGGTGCCAATATTAACGAGGTAAGTTAATTATCCTTGATGATAAACTTTTTTAGCTTGGGCATCTTGCTTTGTTATTTCAGATGATGATATCCTTATTATGTGTCTTCTCATGCACAAATAATACTCTAAGCTAAAGAGAGCATTTCAAATGATGATGTGTCATTCTCTTGAGAATGATGAGATTATTTGTTTGAGTTGTATCCTTATTTATGTGTCTTCTCATGCACAAATAATACTCTAAGCTAAAGA